TCATTCCCTCATCTGCAGGGAAATTTGATGAAAATAAGACAAAAGTAATTATCTTGTTTTTCAGGTCATACCCCCAACCTGAGAGCCATCAACTTCTTAATAGAACTGCTTTTACATGAAGGCTTACATTACTATTGTCTATTTAGTGCTGAATATAGATTGGCATAGAGTGTAAAGACTGAATACATCAGCCAGTCCTTGCTAACAAAAGAGACAAAAGCCTGGATCAGTGTGTCTTGGACTTTTAAATTTTGGAGGCAACAAATTTACCTTCCTAATAGCTGTTAGTTAGAACTCTAAAAATATTCTTTATTCTTAGTACATATACCAGGAGAGAACCTAGGAAGGAGCAGGGTAGAGAATTCTGGATCAGAAAAATTGGCAGCAGATAATACATGTAGATAAAACCAAAATTGATACATTTTATAGGTTTTTGGTGAGCTTGTGCTGTGCAGATGTTAGTGAGACCAATCAATGCCCAGTGGGTTAGTCAAATATTATAGTCTAGCTCATCAGTATGATATATTTCTCTGCTACTCTTATAGCCCAGTGAAATGTAATTGTGCATATAACTTTTGGAGACCTAAACATTCCTCAGCAGAAAATCTCCTGGCTGGGGGATTCCTATTAAAACATGTATCTGGAGCCTCCTCTTTGTGATACAAAATATTATTTTGGTTAAAATATAATAATGACTCTCTTGATATAACTGGAAATTTAGAAGCAAACACTAGCCTCTACATGCTGGTGAGGGTAGTACTACTCTTTAATAAGACATCTTGATTTTTTTATTAAAAAGTTTCTATCATTTACTTTGAAGGACACCAGACTGTTTCTCAATTACCTAAACAACAGACTTGGTGACCAAAGAAGGTAAGATGTTTTTCTCATTATTATTTTATTGACTGGTTGTATTCTGAATATATCTAACATTAAAAAAAATCTAGGATCTGTTTTATTTTAGGAGAGAATATGGGATACCTACCTTACTGAGTACTATTGAGTTACCCATTGTGTAGAAAGATTAGACACATTCTGCCTCATGAGTCATTTCTATGTTTAAAAATAATCTCCATCAGGGGCCGGCCGAATGGCTCAGTTGGTTAAGAGTTGGCTTAAGAGCGTGAGCGCTGAGCAACAGGCTGCTGGTTCGATTCCCACATGGGCCAGTGATGCTGTGCCTGAGTTGAGTTATCGCTGAGCTGCCAACAGGTGGCAGGATGGCTCAGCTGGTGTAACAACAAGATTGTCTGTTCGATGGTGGGCTATGCCCACCTGCAACTAAGATTGAACATAGTAGCATCTTGAGCTTAGTTGCCGCCCGGATGGCTCAGTGGATAGAGCGTGCACTCTTAACAACAAGGCTGCTGGGTTTGACTCCTGCATGGGATGGTGGCTATGTCCACTCGCAACTAAGACTGAACCTGGTACCTTGAGCTGATCTGCCGCCTGAATGGCTCAGTGGATAGAGCTTGCGCTCTTAACAACAAGGCTGCTCGTTCAACTTCTGCATGGGATGGTGGCTATGCCCACCCGCAACTAAGATTGAACATAGCACCTTGAGCTTAGAGGCCACGAGCTGCTGATGGGAAGCCAGATGGTGACTGGCGCCCTCCACAACGAAGACTGAAGAACAACAACTTGGCTGGTCCCCTTCTCCAATTCCCCAACATTGTTCCCCTCCCCAATTCCCCAATA